CCCTACCCCCTTTCCTTTCCCCTCCCCCTACCCCATCTCCTCAGTTTTATCTCAGGCAATAGTAGCATCATTTATTCAGATTCTCAGGGGGGAAAAAAACTTATAAAATTACCTTTTCCCTCCCCAGCCCTATGTCCACATGCACCTAAGATCTTTGTAGAATCTCTCTGGTTCTTTCCATAGGCACAGGGGAACAGCAGCGTTTAAGGAGATCCTGCCACCTACTGCAGGGTGGATAGGCTGAAAGGACAAGCTGCCAAAAAACATAAGTACAGAAAGAAAAGCAGCCATGATCTCACTTAGAAGTGAAATGATTTTTTAAAAACTCAAATGTTCAGGGATAGAACAAAACACTAAGTGTTACATTTGAGGAAGGCAAGCAAAGGTTATGGGTCACAGAATACAAAGCAAACACATGGTGTGGGCGAGACTAAGGATCCAGCCAGCGCGAGCCTGCAGCTGACCTCGCATTCAGGAATTCTGCTAACTGCCCAAACCACAGCTGCTCTCACCGCCAGGGACGGGGCGGGCGGCCCAGGTGGCTCCCTCGATCGGTTTTGCTAGAGGAGCCTGGCAGTGTGTGTTCACGTATCTTTCCGTCCTCCTGTCCGCCATAAGCATGCAGAATAAAATGGATATTTAAAAATAAAATAGCAGGTGATGAGTGCAACGACTATAGGTTCCTGTCTTCTGGTAGACAGGATTTAGCCAGACCTGATGCCGGTAGCTTTGCCTTGGTTATCAGGAGATCTCGGCGTGTGCTTGGCCACCCCCACCCCCACCCCGAGCAACCCAAGCTAAGCTTCTGTTTTTGTTCTTCTGAAACAGCGCTCCATGGGGGCCTCCTCCTTCCTGGGCCCAGGTGGTCTCACTCACCCACCCTTCCAGGGAGTACGCGCAGCACCGCGGGCTTGCTCTTGGCCCTAATATAGCAAAGAGCAGCCCAGAACAGCTGTCTATTCCTGTGCAGCTTCCACCCTAATGGAAAGAGAAAAGGAAAATTAATTACTATGTCTCAATAGTAAAAGAAACTAAGATCTTGGGAAAATTCCCTGGCTTAAGCTACCATGGCCACCTTTGTGTCCCGGCTTCAGGAGTACTCACTCAGCCCAGGAGCTGGGTGGCTCGGGCACGTGCCCAGGTTAAACACACGTGCCATGGTTGGAGACAGTTCTTGCTGTTGCAGAGCTTCAGTGGGGAATGATGCGCTCAGGGCAGGCCATCCTGCGTCACAGCAGGGCCACATGGGGGTCTCCGTGCAGATCTCCGGGTGGAGCTGAGACCACGCAGGTTGGTTCTCCCCAGTAAGGCGTCCCCCGGGCTGTTCTTGTGCATGAGCAGACAATGAGTATCTTGAAGGAGAGAGAAGAAAACCACATGAACCGTGTGTCCCAAACTTCCGTGCCACCTGTGCAGCTGACCTTCTCTTTTCTACCTCTGCAGTCCAGGTCCGATGCACCCCCGCCTGGCTCTTCCTCAAAGTTAACATGTTTGTACTTGGCCCTGGTATCGTGACATTACCTGAAGAGTTATTTCTAGGAAGCAGCTGTCCTGTATCGGTGACAATTTATGAATTCCACCACTTTATATACCGTACCTGTGAGTGTGGCATCCGGAGCCAGGTAACTGGGTCTTCGCCCACTTCCGTCTGCTCAGAGCTCTCACTCAGCTCAGGCCAGGGCTTTGGGAGGTTCTTTATTTCTGACCACAAGCTAATCTGGTTTTGCCAACTATGACAGGGGCCTTGAAAAGCGATAAAGAAATGAGCTCACAATGTCAAACTGACATTTATCTGTTTCTAAATAAGACATGAAACTTATCTTCATTAAAGAAAATGGACTTTTTAAAATTCTATTAATTTAACAAACTACATCCAGCTGCAGCCCCAACTGCCCTATCACCATTGTTTGTCACCCAAGTAAGAGCAGTGCTCATACATTCGAAGAATAGAAAAATAAATAGGAATAACAATTTGAGAGAGGTGAAAAAATGTAAAGTTCAAATTTCAATGTCCATAAATGAAATTTTATTAGAATACAATCATGCAGGTTCACGCATTTGCTAATTGTCGACGGCTGCTTTCACCCTGCAAGAGAAAGCCAGGTACGCCCAAGGTGTTGGCCTCTGGCCCATTACAGAGGTCGAATGCTCGGAGCAGCAGAGCCAACCACACAGCTCCACGGCACTCTCGATTTTCAGTCTTTGGAAGCAGCCACCCTTTGTGGCATAGGAAACTTTAGGAGTCACCCCAGGGTCGTCACACCTGACATTTGCAAATGATAAGGACTCCCTGCCTGACATCCCGACATCCCGGCCCACTGGAGACTCTGGTGCCGCCTCTTGTCTGGGGGCCAGGACAGGTGGGATGAGGTCACCAGACTGAGGACAGAGATGGGCAGTTTTTAAGCCTCCTGGGTTATTTTGCCTTTAAACAAAACCAATTGCTTTCCTCCCAACCTCCTATTAGAAACCCTGAAGGAAATATCATGTCTCTTAATTTTAGTTTTTTTCATTTAATATTTCCAAAGCAAAGCCTTGAAGCTTTTTTGAAATGAAGACAATGCAATGTCATAATACAAAATTTTAGGGTATTAATGAGAATTAGAGATGTGGCTGGAGCTATCAGTGGAACTGTGACCATTTTAAGTGAATATTAAAAATAAAGAGAATGGGGGCTGGTGAGATGGCTCAGTGGTCTAAAGCACCTACTTAGAACAAGCTTAGCAAAGCACAGGGACCGCAGTTCGATCCCCCAGCACCACATGCCAGCCAGCCTCGCCCCCTGGTGGGCTGAACAGGCCACACACACACACACACACACACACACACACAAATTTAAAAAAAAAATAAAAAAATAAAAAAAAATAAAGAGAATGTGCACAAAAATTCAGTGATGGTCTCCAGACGATGAAAGTAGAAAAATTTACACATTTGCTGTACATTGTTCACATTTCCTAAAGCCATATGTTATTTCTAAAAAGCATGCTACCTAATTAATATACTCTTCAGGACTAAATGCGCTGTATTTTCACTCCTCTGACTTTCGAAGGCCATGTTCGGTACCTCAGGGTCTTACAAAATCTACAGAAAGGTTTCTCAAAAGAATAAGTTTTAAATTCTCTCTTGATGCTATGGAACCATTGCTTGGACACCGTGTTTAAGCGGCAAGCCCTCCACTGGCCTCGTGGGAGGCCTGTCCTAGTGCAAGTGTTCGATCTTCTCATCCCCTTTTCGAGAGCAAGGCCATGTAGCAGAGCGGCTTCCCCAGGCACTGTACCCGGCGAGATGTTTCGGCCAACTCTGACGTTCCCCTTGCCATCGCAGGTGTCTCCAGGAAATCGGCTCTCCTTTGAAGCTGAAATCACCGTTAGATCACCGATGCTTGGCTTTTACTCTTCCATGACTATTGTGTGCGTTGTGCCCAGGTGAGTTGGCCGTGGCAAGCCCGGCCTGTGCCCTCTGAGCCGCCTCTCCCAGGCCGGGCTGGGTGGGATCGCCCACGGGTACGATGCGCCAGTGTCCAGGGTGGCCCGGGCCCATGCAGGTCGTATTGTCTTGTCGCCGCACTCTTCTGGGGTTCTGCTGCTCTCAGCTCTGCGACTTTAAGGAAGCCGCTTGACAACCCAGGAAACTCCGCGTCCTCATCTTTAGAGTGAAGACGCTGGTGCCTTTTTCACAACTTTGGGCTGAAGGTTACAGGAAGGGGCGGGAGCAGCACGGAATTCAGAGTGCACGCAGGGCGCAGCGGCTGGTGGACTGGTGCTGGCTCGCTGTCAGCTGTGTGTGTCCACGGTGGCTTGGAACTGTGTGTAAAACGGTAGAGATTAACTGCTTCGCCCCATGCCTCATGGGTCTCCTGCTGAGAATCCAGCTTGTTGTCATTAGTGTCCATGTCACAGCATCTATGATCTCTGAGACAATCAGGAATATTAAAGACCTGAAACAAATTAACATGGTGATGAGAGGGGGCCAGGGAGATAGCTCAGTAGGATAAGCACTTGACTGGCAAATGCAAGAATCTGAGTTCAATCTCCGGTTCCGCAAAAGAAAAAAAACTCACCCAACATGGTGATGAGAGTAGGCAGTTTCATGACTGTGAATGTGCAGGCCAGGGGGAGAAGAGAAACAAGCCAAAATGTTGGCTTTAAGTAGTTCTCGCTGTCTCCGTGACCCACAGGTAGGGGTCCTGTGGGCTCGCTCAATGTCACCCGTTACTGGCAGTCGAAGGCCATCGACCGCTGTGTCAATGTCTTCTGCTCAGCAGCGCTGCCAAGGTGTTGGGGAGGCCCCCAGACAGAGAGCTCCCTCGGTTCAGACATTAAACTTACCACCCAGCCTTCCAAGTGCGAAGAGGATGGGGGATTTCACACTGCCTCCCTCGCGACTGGAAGGGACGGGGACCAGTGCAAGCTCAGGAAGGGCGAGGGCAGGCCTCAGCTTCGGGCCCGAGCCGCCGGCGCCAGAGCAGACCACAGAACCCCACAGTGTTTCTTTTTTCTATTTTGCAGCCATCTTTCAGGTGCTATGAACAGCACGGGACGTAAGGAACAGCGCATCTCCCCTATAAAAGCAAACGAAGCACAGGTGCTAGAAAGACCTCCAGCTGCAAACTTCGGGTAAGGTCACGTGACGTGCGCTTAGGCTGTCCAAGTAGGTTCTAGACTTTCAACAGCTTCACGAGATTGTGCACAGTTCTTCGACACAGGCTGATCAGTGTGCACTTTGTTTAGCAGCAGCTCGGCTTCACGGCCAAGCATGTTGGTCTGGCATTAATGGAAAGCAGAAACTTACGGCAGAGATTGTCCTCCAGGAACCTTGCATCGTGACCCACTGAGTGAAACGTCTTGACCAAAATAAATATTAAGAGAATTCTCAATAGAAAACCTACTTTTGTGCTGGTAATCAAGCTCAGCATCTCGAGCTTGCTGGGAAGGCTCTTGGGTTGCCAAGCAGGTTCCCCAGGCCAGAGATACTTTGATGTCAATACCAAAGAATAAGCGCTTGTCAAATAGCTCAGCAGATTAAAGCACCTGCAAGCAGGCACAGTTCAACCCGGGGGCACGCTGAGATAGCAATGGAGACTGGGTATGGTCGTACAAGCCTGTAATCCCAGCTCTTGGGAGGCTGTAAACAGGCAGATCACTACGAGTCCAATCTAGTAGTGAGACCCTGAATACCCTGTGGGCCCTTCCCTAAAATACAGAAGAAAAAAAAAAGATTATAGGCTTTGGTGGCATAAGCAGCCCTCGAAAGCCCATGCCTAGAGATAGCTGAGAGGGAGACTCTGTCCTGAAGGAGCCAGCATCTTCCTGCCAGGAGCATACTTCCTAAGTAAGTGGATTTGCCTTCTGAGACAGTTGAGGGGGAAAATTCTAAACTTACGCAGATATGCATGTGTTTCGAGCTTTGCATGTGGCGATGCCCAAAGGGAAAGCTCTATATTTATTGCACAGTATACAAATATTCCAGAACATCATGTAGAACGTGACATATACCATTTTTATTTGCCAATTAAAATAACTGCAAAAGATTTAAAAAAAAAAAAAGAACATGCTGAATGTTAGAAGTTTTCCAAGCTTGGGGTGCACTGTGACGGCACACTGAACGAGAGGCGTACTGCAAGTCTCTGCCAGGTTCCTGGTGAAGAGGCCAGAAGCTCGTCGCTGGGGAGACCCAGTGCCTGTGTTTCATTCTGTGGGGTACGACCTCAAGCACCACCTCTTCTCTTCCCCCTCCCCTGTCCCAGAGACTTAAGAACAGTAGCCCTCTGGAGACCAAAGGTCAGAAAACCACACACCAGCAAGTTCTGATCCTTGGTTTTTTGGGTTTTGTTTTGTTTTGTTTTGTTTTGTTTTGTTTTGTTTTGTTTTGTTTTGTTTTGTTTAGACTTGCAAGCAAGTCTCTTTAATGGACATTAGATACAAAGATCCTCAGCCAGGCCCTGCAAGCAAGGCAGCAGAGCATCAAGCAGATCACCAATCACCAACTGGTCCTTCTCTCTGCAGTCAAAATCCCGGTTTTGAAAGCTACGTAGCTTCTCTTTCCCCACCTGCATTTTCAGAAGCAGACGGATCCAGCTTATTTCATTTTTAAATGTTTTAAGTGACTTGACTTTTAACAAAATGGCTCCTTGTCATTTCCTGAGCTTTCTTAAGAAGGATCTTCCCGTTTTTAACTTTCCAAGCGACTGTAATAAAATACTTTCTCCTAGTGGATTTTCTGTGCATTAAAATGCTGTTGCTATAATCTAAACATCTCTGCCTCACCTCCAAAATCCATTTGTTACAACCTAGTGTCAGTGTTGCCGTACTAAAAAGGGTGCTTTTCAGCAGCATAAGTGCCTGCCGGGCAAGTGCAAGGTCCTGAGTTCCATCCCCAGTAGCCAAAAAATAGAAGTAGTGGAGGAGGAGGAGGGGGAGGGGGAGAGGGAGGGGAAGGGGTAGGAGGAGGAGGAGGAGGAAGAGGAGGGGGAGGGGGAGGGGGAGGAGGAGGAGGGAAGCTTTTGAAGGCAATTAGAACGCATGGGTGGGACCCTTGCAAATGAGATTAGTGCCCTCATAAAGGAGGTCCAGGGTAGGCAGTTTGCCTTTGCCCTCCACCAAGTGTCGACCCTGAGATGGTGTCTACTACAAATGAGAAAGCAGGCCATCACCAGCCTCCCAGCCCTGCAGCACAGAGCAATACATTTCTGCAGGAAGCCCGCTCAGAGGCGGCCTTGAAAGATCATCGAGGACGGCAGACTCTCCAGCGGACACCTGGCCAGGTAATGCACTTGGTCTGCCACTCTCTGTGGAAGATTGCGAGTGAAATTCAAACACAAACTTCCGAGCAGAAACAAAGTGCTTGGTCAGCGGGCTGCACCGCAGGCAGGTTCAGCCTGCAGTCCACAGGCAGCTTCCACTCTTATTTCTAATGTCAAAATAAAGGAAGTTTTGCTAGTTATAACATTAACTACGTCATATATTTTATACAAGACAATGCCTACTCTGTCTTGATTCGTAAAGTCACTTCCTACCTTAGCTATAAATGGGTCATAATTTGTGTGATAATTCTACGAGATGCCCTCAGTTATGGTAACGTCAGTTTTTGTTGCCTCACTGCTATTGTCATTCACCTAATATTTAGACAGAACTATAGCAAAATAATTCAAATCTCGAGGGTCATTCTTGGCTTTCTGAGCTCCCGTCTTCTGGAAAATAAGTGGGTTATGATAAGTTTCAGGTGACACTGTCCAAAGTGAAACGCTCCATAAGCCACGCTGACTCCTACTCAGACAAGTTGCCAAGAGCTCCCTGCCCTGTAGACAGGGCTGTGAACTTAGGAAGAGCCGCACAGGCCTTTGCCTGGAGGAGAACTGCAGAAAACTGCCATCTAACGGGCACTTGAGCATCTGTTCTGCTCCTGCGTGGAACCTGAGGTATCAACTTAAGGCGCACCATTTCTTTTCTATCAAGATTAAAGAGATTGACCTGACACGTTTTACCATTTGGTCTTCAAATCATTTTAGAAAACTTGAAAGAGCTCTTGTGGACATTCTTCTCACATCACACATAAAAGCGAGTGTAAACTAGGCAGTTGGCTACAGTAACCCTAAGCTATGACCACCGCACGTCCAGCCCTCCTAGTCACCTCTCGGTTCGCGGTCAGTGTCCCCGTGTCCCCAGGTACCTACCCCAGCCCCGTGACCCTTCGGTTTTTAAATGCTCCGCGCCTATCTCCAGAACTTCCTGCCCCTCGGTGGCTGTTTCCCAAGTCTCCAGGAAGCTTCAGCATGGCTTGCAGCCCCGGTTCCGCGTGCGGCTGACGGCAGCTGCAGCGCGCCTGGCCGACCCCGTGTGGCTCGCACGTGTCCCCCAAAAAATTGGGGCGAGTCTCACTGTGCTACACAAATGGGCTGATGAGCACCCTGGACTGCCCGCATCGAGGCACTGGAGATGCAGACCTGTGCGGGTGGGTGGGCGGGCAGTTTTCTCATGTAACATTATAATGAAGGGCTGTAGATGATAAAAATAAAAAATGGGCAGGCCAGGGATATAGCTTAGCAGTGCAGCAAGCGTGAGGTCATGAGTTCAATTCCTGGTACCAGAAATTAAATCAATGTGGGTGGCAATAAACACTAGGAACAAATAAGACAGGTCAGATGTGCAGTGTAGTGAAGGGGATAGAGTCGTAGATGCTTAGGGAAAGCTTCATGCAGGAAGTGATGTCTCAGCACAAGCTGTCATCAAGGGAGTCGGGCTTAGGGACAGCGCGAATTCCAGTTAGGAGGACACCAAGTGACACAAGCACTGCTGGGTGACTGGTGAGGTGTCAGGCTGAGAGAGTGATGGGTACCATGCTGGGTAGACAGGGAAGCTGGGGTCTCCTGGCCCTCTTCCCTGAGTGGTCATGGCCAGGCTGCGCAGGACCTCCCGGGACATAACCAAGACCCTGACTCTCGCTGCGGCCTGAGAGGCACAGCAGAGGGACTGGAGCAGAGGATGCCATGGCCCGACTGAGCGCAACGGGTCAGAGTCCTAACCCCAGCGCTGTTAAACGTGAGCTGCTTTGGAAATTAGATCACATCAGATGTAATTAGTCAAGATGATGTTATGGGGAATAGGGTGACCCTAACCCAGCATGATTGATTTTCTCATAAAGAGAAGAATGGCTGCGT